GTGTGTGTGTGTGTGTGTGTGTGTGTGTGTGTGTGTGTGTGTGTGTTGGAATATTATTTAACCATGAAAAAGAACGAAATCTTGTCATTTGCAACGACATGGATAGAGCTAGAGAGTATAATGCTAAGTGAAGTAAGTCCGAGAAAGACAAATACCATATGATTTCACTCATGTGGAATTTAAGAAACAAAACAAATAAGCAAAGGGGGGATAAAGAGAGACAAACCAAGAAACAGACTCTTAACTGTGGAGAAGAAACCGATGGTTACCAGAGGGGAGGTGAGTTGGGGGATGGGTGAAATAGGGGAAGGGGATTATGAGTACGCTTAACCTTGATGAGCACTGAGTAACGTGTAGAATTGTTGAATCACTATATCCTACACCTGAAACTAATAGAAAATTGTGTATTAACTAACTAATTAAAATAAAAATTAAAAAAGTGCCTGTAATATGTGAGTGGGTGAACTAATGAACAGAAACTCATGAAATGATACTCAACAGAAGTAAAGTGTGCTGCACTTAGATTATTAAAGGAAGTGAAAGAGGGAGCGATAAAATCATTTGATAGTACAGAAAAATATTTATATGTAGAAATGTTTATAATGGCATTAGTTATAATAGCTCAAATCAGAACTAATTTAAATGTCTACCACAGAATATTAAATAAATTATGGTGAATCTCTAGAATGGACTGTAATACAATCATAAATATTGATTTTGAATAATACTTAATTTTATAAGTGCTCATACCTTATAGAATGTTTATTAATAAACCAAAATATAAAATTATAGACTATTATAATTGTATAGAAATATTTGTATGCAAATTCATGGGGAAAAGTCTGGGGGAAATACATTGACTTAGTGGGGATATTTGGTTGCAGGTAACTTTAAATTTTCTTTATATTTTTACTTATTCCCAAATCTGAACAATATGTTTATTGTACAATCGTTTTTTTCCACTTGTTTGTTTTTAAGCATCTATGAAATGCAGGACTGGTTTAAGAGTGAAAAAGTCCAGGAAATTTTAGTTACATCTTGGTTCTTATTTGGCTTATAATTAATATGGCTTTCCCTAAAGTGCAATTTCAGTCTTTATTAACAAAAATACAGTCTAAAATGAAGAAAGCACTAGTTCTTTTATGCCCAGTTCTAGGTACTGTAGCTTTGGGTAAACTTGAGTTGTTCAAATGAACAAACGTCTCACACCATATATCATATAAAGAAATGGCCATTTCTTTTCTTAGGAAAGATGTGTTGGGATTATTTAAAGGGAATTAAGGAGGGCACGTACTGCATGGAGCACTGGGTGTTACACAAAAACAGTGAATCATGGATCACTACATCAAAAACTAATGATGTACTGTATGATGACTAACATAACATAATAAAATAAAAAAATTAAAATAACAGTGTCAGGTAGAAGAGATACTAGGTTTTATTTATGAAGAAAGGTACAGGGAAACAAATTTGAGTTAAGGAAGACATTTCTAATTATTAGATGCCCCCTTCCCTCACAATGGCCTGACTTTGGTAGAAGTAAAAATATTACTTATTAAGCAGGATTTTTACACTTTCCTACAACATTCCTGTAAATAAGCCTTAAGAGTTCTGTAAATATTTAGAAGGTATTTTAAAAGGTAAATATAAATAATTAAACTGTAATTTTAAAATAACATATTCACTCAAATGTTTCAAATACCAAATTTTAACACTTTGGAAATTAATAACATGTTTTGGAGGTGCTACTTAGTTGACTTGTTTTTGTGCAGACCTCTGAATCAAGTTTTTGCCTGCTTGCTTAGGTTTTCTGAGTTCAAGGTCAGTTATTTATCAATTGTATCTCTGTGTCTCTGTGAATCAGGATTTTTATTAATACTCTATAACCAAAACAAAAATACAGAAATAAGCTGGATGCAGAGATGGATATTAGATTATAATCATCTGTACCCTCTGATTTAAAGTTTTTATATTCATCAAAACAGATTCATTGTTTTCAGTGATTGATTTATTCAAACATAATACTACTTAAATTTGTTTTATGTACAGGAATCTTACCAGAAATTGTTGAAAAAGTTGTCTACTGCTTAGATGTTTGGAAAAGTCTGATATGGAGGATGGTCAAGTCTACCTATAGAACATATTTTGAATCTTCCTTCTTCTCTTTATTTCTCTTGCCTTAGCCCAAGCCATCATCATCTGTCATTCATACAACCTCAAAAACTTTGTTTGGTCTCACAGTTTCCACTTTAGCTCCTGTTACCCGTTCTCTCCACCAAGCAGCTGGAGTGATCTTAAAACATACAAAGTAATATGTTCTTACTTAGAACCTTCCATTGTCTCTTTCGTCTCTAACATCATTTCATACCCTTCCATTCTTTTCTGTCCCATAAATGTGCAAAGGTCTTCGCTGCCTCAGGATCTTCTTCCTTTATCTGGAATGTTCTTAATCCCATTCTTCACCTTGGTAACTCCTCATCCTTTATGTTTCAGTTTAAATGTCACCACCTTAAAGTAGAGGGTGAAAACTATGCCCCTTTTTATCACTCTGGGTTAGAAATAAGCATTTGACCTGACCTTTTATACTTCTCAGTGCAAGAGAACTTTAGAATTGGGGCAGGGAGAGGAGTATGGTTTCATCTAGCAGTGTCCTGCAGCATAGTAAGATTTTCGTCCATATTTATAAAGATATGAGGGCATGCTTCTGTTTCAAAGTAGGAGGAAGATGGGATGGAAGCCTGTTAAAAGAACAAAGGTGTCTTCTCTCCACCTAATACTTAGTGAAAAGTAGTATATTTAGTTAGTTTTGGCCATTTATAAATATTTTATAAATCAGTAAAACTAGGCTGAAAGAGGTTAAATGGCTTGACCCAAAACAGTATGACTTTGTCATATGTATGTTATCAGTATGACTATGTCAGTGCTAGGCTCAATTCTGTTAAGTCCTATAAATCTACAATACTTAATTTGGAAGTAAAGTAAGAAAATACTATCCATGCAGAAACTGTAGTCACATGGAGAGCCATTTTTCACCTTACAGAAGTTGTTTCCCTGAAGCCTTACATACATGTAACGCCGCTTTTTAGTAAAGGCCAGGTGGAAAAATTGCCTTCTCCTTAGTTGAGATAAGGGTGTGACACATCTCTTGATGCGGTAAGAATAAAACTGCAAACAGGGTAGGTAGATTTTATTCTGTTCTTTGTCTGCTGACTCAGTTAAGGTTGTGTTCACCTTTAAATACCAGAAAGTTCTAACAGTAACTTAAAGAAATGGGAGAAGGACAGTTTTCTCACACAAGTCCAGATGTGGCAGTCCAGAACTGGTTCAGCCGCTTCCCCGACCCTAGTGGGTTGGTTTTGCCCTCCTGCTTCTTACCACAGGGATAAAGCCATAAAAGCGCAAAGGGATATATATGCAGTCTTTGCTAGGTGGCACTTCTAAGAAAGTTTTTAATCACACTTCCTATGTCTCACTGGCCAGAACTGATCACATGTCCCCTTGTAGATGGAAAATGACTGGGGAGACAGTGAATAGTGTCTGTGTCTTGTGCTCCCTCATTTAATGTCTTTTAGCATGATAGTCCAAGTACCTAATACCATACTAATAATGCATTGTACCTTTTAGATTTACATTGGTGCAAAAGCATACAGTGGAATTCAACCAAGTGGCAATGGCTAATTCAGATGGATCCGAAGCTATGCTGAACAGAGTGATGACAAAAGATAATATTGGTGTCGCTGTGGTATTAGAGGTCCACAAAGAACTATTTGGAACAGGTGAGTGCAGTTTAAAATATTCTTACTAAAAATAAACACCATCTCATGTTTTCTCATCTCAAGCGTACAGACTCTTGCCTTATTTATTGCACAATTATTTTTTTTTGTCTTTGAGGAAAGTTAAGGGAGATGGGCAGGAAAATAGCACTAACTATGTAAACCATCATATATATATTTAGGGATATTACTTACCAGGTAATCTGTGAAAAAGGAAAGCCTTTGATATGCCATTATTTCAGAAAGGTTATTTGAAGTAGGAAATGCTTTAGTTAGGCCGAATTTGGAAGTTAGGATGAGTTGGTTCTCTTTCTAGCCATATTTTTAGCTTCCTGAGTGTGAAATCTTTTGTCTTTAAGGTTAAGTACTTGGCAAGTTTCTCTACTTTTTTTTGTTAGATCTCAGTCATTGTCAGGATAAGAGCGGGATCTTTTATCTACCTGGTACTTAGCTTTTGCATTTTAGATTATTTATAGCTTCCTTCAAAGTCAAACTCATTATGTACTTTGCATATCCAGACCTTTTTTTCCCCTTTCTCCTGCCTGCCTTTGAGTATTTCATTGTTTACTTAACTAGTATATTTTAGGCAAGAGCAAGGAGAAGATGCTTAGACTACATTAGGGCTTTATTTTTAAACTTTTTTCCTGTTCTTACTGTAGAAGAAAAGATGTTTGCCTTGAGTATTGATTTGAATTATTCAGACCATGCCTATCTGTCAATCTTCTCCTTTTCTGTTATTAATTTTATCCATCATCAGATAATCTTTGATATGATATTTTAAATTTCTTCTTCTTTTTTGATCTTTCCATTTTTACCTACTTTTATGTCCTTTCCAGTCTTACTTTTTTCAAAAGTTAGGTACCTCTTTTTCTGGTAACATGAAAATTGAATTTCCTTTGGAATTTTTTTCTTCTTTTAATTTTCAGAAAAGCAATTAGAAATTATACAGCAGATACACATAGCACATTTTGAAATACGTCTCTTATTCCTACAAGAGGAATTTAATATTATAGAAGGTGCTGGTGGCCCTGTTGTTTTTAATAGTTCTTAGTATTTAATATAGTGAACATTTAATGTACAGCCAGAAGTGACACCATAAAATTTCTAGGAAAAGAGTGGAGCATAGAGAATTTTGTCTATAAGATTTTATCTTGTCAAATTACTTTAAAAATGACTTTCTATATTTATAAATCATATATCCAATAAGAGTTAATATCCAAAATATATAAACAACTCATAAAGCTCAATAGCAAGAAAAATGAACAATCAGATTAAAATATGGGCAGAGTGTCTGAATAGACATTTTTCCAGAGAAGACAGAGATGGCCAACAAGCACATGAAAAGATGCTCAGCATCACTAATCATTGGGAAGTGGAAATCAGAGCCACAATGAGATACCACCTCATACCTGTTAATATAGCTGTTATCAAAAGGACAAGAAATAAGTCTTGGTGAGGCTGTGGAGAAAAGAGAATGCTTGCACACTGTAGGTGGGAATGCAAACTGGTGCAACCACTATGGAAAACAATATGGAGGTTCCACAAAAAATTAAAAACAAATACCATATGATCTAGCCATTCCACTTCTGGTATTTATCCAAAGAAAATGAAAATACTAACTTGAAAAGAGATATACACCCCCATGTGTATTACATCATTATTTACAGTAGCCACCACATGGAAGCAGCCTAAATGTCAATCAGCAGATGAATGGTTAAAGAAAAAGTAGTATATATACACAAAGAAATACTATTTGGCTATAAAAAAGACTATCTACTATTTGCAGTGACATGGATGGACCTTGAGGGCATTATGTTAGATGGAATTAGTCAGAGAAAGAGAAATATTGTATAACCTCACTTATTTGTGGAATCTAAAAAACAAATGAACAGAGACAACAAAACCAAAATCATAGATACAGAGATTATAGAGTTGCCAGAGGGGAGAGGGATTGGGGAGTGAGCAAAAAGAATGAAGTGGATCAAGAGGTACAAACTTCTACTTATAAATAAGTCATGGGGGTATAATGTACAGCATGAGGGCAGTAGTCATATTGTAAAATGTACTTGAAAGTTGCTGAGAGAGTAAATCCCAAGAGTTAACTTTATATGGTGACAGATGGTAACTAGACTTACTGTAGTGATCATTTTGCAATGTATATAAATATTGAATCATTATGTTGTACATCTGAAAGCAATAATGTTATGTCAATTATGCCTCAATAGAATTTTTTATTTTATTTTTTTAAGATTTATTGATTTGTCAGAGAGAAAGAGAGCACAAACAGGGGGAGTGGCAGGCAAAGGGAGAGGGAAAAGCAGGCTCCCTGCTGAGCAAGGAGCCTGATGCAGGACTCGATCCCAGGACCCTGGGATCATGACCTGAGCCAAAGGCAGATGCTTAACCAACTGAGCCACCCAGGCATCTCTCAGTAGAATTTTTTAAAAATGACTACTCCTGTCACATATAGCAGACACTTCAGTTACTTGTTTTTATATTCAACATTGAAGATAATTATATCTTAGTAAGGTGGAAGGAAACATTATCAAAATAGTAGACTTAATTTTTTAAGTCTTTTCTGCAGAGTTTATATTTTCAATAGAAAAATTTAAGACATTTCTATAGAAGTTTTTTTGGTAGTTTTAAGATTTTATTTAATTTCCATTTAACATACAATGTAATATTAGTTTCAGGTATAGAATTTAGTGATTCATCACTTACGTACAACATTCAAGTGCCCTCCGTAATCCCCATCACCAATTTAGCACATCTCCACCCCCCACTCCACCCCCAGCAACCCTCAGTGTGTTTTCTATAGTTCAGAGTCTGTTTTCTGGTTTACCTCTTTTTCCCCCCCCCCCCCCCATGTTCATCCATTTTTTTTCCTTAATTCCACATATGAGTGAAATCATGTAGTATTTGTTTTTCTCTTATTTCACGTGGCATTATACTCTCAGACTTCATCCATGTCATTGCAAATGGCAAGATTTCATTCTTTTTTGATGGCTGAATAATATTCCTGTGTGTGTGTGTGTGTGTGTGTGTGTGTGTGTGTGTGTGTGTACACACACAGACCACATCTTCTTTATCCATTCATCAATAGGTGGACATTTGGGCTCTTCCTATAATTTGGCTATTGTAGATAATGCTGCTATAAACATTGGGGTGCATGTATCCTTTAGAAGCAGTATTTTTGTATCCTTTGAGTAAATACCTCATAGTGCAATTGCTGGATCTTAGGGTAGTTCTATAGAAATTCTAGTAGAAAAATGAATTGTGCATGTTTACTAATATTGCAATAGTACAAAAGTGTATAAAATAAAAAGAAGTTCCTTATTCATACTCTCTAGGAGTAGCTCTTGCTAATTTCTTTACTCATTACTAACAGAGACTGTATGTGTAGTTTTATTTAAAAGGCCTCATACCATGCACATTGAGCTTTATGTTTTAAATATTTTATGGATGTCTTTCTCTGTACCTGTTAACCAAATTTAATTTTCACAATTTCTAATGTATTATCTATCTTGTTTTCCATTTTGAAAGTTAATACTTTGTTAATACTTATTTTGACAAAATTTATAAAACAGAATTTTAGGGGGAAGAAAGAACCTTACACATTTTCTAGTTGAATATCTCACTTTCCAAATGAACCTGAGTACCAAGAAAGTTAAGTGACTGTCCCAACACCAAAATAAACAGTAAAAAAGCCAGGTCTAAAACCCATGTGTCCAGGTTTTGAGAGCACACTATTCTCTGTGTCACCTTTTAAAAATAATTTTATTTGGGTGTTTGGTATGAATTTGTTTTGGTAGGAAACTTCCTTCCTTACTTAATTTGTATAAGTTAATATAGTGTTACTGCCTTTTATTGATCCATCACTGATGTGCTCAGGAAATGCAAGGTGAATGAGTACTGGGCAGTGGGAAGAATTTAAATTAAGGTTTAGGTCACTCAAATAACTGAAAACCTGCCTCACTAAGTAATTGTGATCTTTATATGACAGAGATATTTAAAGTGCTTGTTGACACTAAGAACTCAGCAAATCAAGGTACTATAATCAAATGTTAATTACATCATGGTATAATTCTTAACTTGGGCATATAGAGCAGAAGTCGACAAACTTTTTCTGTAAAGGGCCAGATAGTTAATATTTTAGTCTCTGTGGGCCACATTCAGTCTCTGTCACAGTCTTTCAAAGAAATTTTTGTAGACTCCTTTAAAAATGTAAAATGAGGCTTAGCTCATACAGGCTGTACAGAAACAGGTGGTGGGCCAGATTTAGCCTGTGGCTAAAAGTTTGTCTACCCTGATCTAGAGGAGTAATTCCCATGTTGGGATTATCAGAATCTTAGCACTTTAGTGTCTAAGAACTATATTACGAGATAAAAGGGAAGATACAAATTAATGGAAAAAAAAATAAAGGGCTGTGGGTTTTTGGGAGAAAACCTTAAGATAATTGCTTTTTTGATCCAAAAAGCATAATCTTACCCTCTTTTTATAATGTTTAAATTTAGGTATGAAGCCTATTCATGCTGCAGACAAACAGCTGCTTATAGTGGCAAATGCCCACATGCATTGGGACCCAGAGTATTCTGATGTGAAACTCATCCAGACCATGATGTTTGTCTCAGAGGTTAAAAACATTCTGGAGAAAGCCTCCAGTAGGCCTGGCAGCCCAACTGCAGATCCTAATTCCATCCCGCTGGTGCTATGTGCAGATCTTAACTCATTGCCAGATTCAGGTATTTATAACATCATTTCCTCATTGCTTTCAGTTTTTGCTTTAACTTCTAGTTGAGGGGCTAGCTAACTCCCAACTTTTGGGTGGAGAATTTCTCTGCTAAATTAAGGGAGTGTATTAGTATGAATCCAGGGATAATAGGACATGGGATAATTGAGAGTTTAGTAAAGAAGCTATTTCTAAAAATGTGTACAGGGTTAAGGGACACAAAATAATGGGTGATGCAGTACTCTACTATGAAGGGAATTAGAGACCCTTTACCACACCTATACCTAAAGGTTTGAAAATGGTGGGAACTGTTAGCAGAACTTGGAAAAAGTAGTTATAAGGAGAGGGTTATGTAGGGGGAGTGAAGGCTTGGAGTTAATTGATGCTATTAATCTCTGGCGTCAACAAAGTGGGAGTCTCACTCTGCTCTCCTGCCGGTGCTGCCCATTGACCAAATCCAGCTAGAAGGGAGAGTGGGAGGGAGGTTGCCGTTGATGCAAGTAAAAATCAGCCTTCTGAGGCACAGAGTGCAATGGAGAAGAGGCAGCCAGGAAATACTCAGCACGGGTAGTTTAATAAGGTTGGCAACTTTTCAGTGAATTCATTAAATGATAAATGAATACTGATAATTTGGTGCAGAAGACTGATCTGTATTCTCCTTGGATTTGACATTACTTCTTGAACTCCACTAAACTATTTTATGTCCTAACTTACATTATTTTAGATCTCTGTAAAAATTAATTCTGCATTTTAGATGTTAAAGTTCAAATGTAAAAACATATAAGTATTACTGTTTTGCTATTACTGAAGCATATTCTAAATTTTTTATATTTTCAATAAGCTATTTTAAATTGTTTAAAATAATCTCTCAACAATAAATGTGAAATAACCCAAATACTTGCAGTTGGAAACTCGTAAGTCACAAATCTAGAAAATATCTTTACTTTTTCTACTTAATAAAGAAATGCTGAAATCATCCTTTTACAAATACTTGTCTTCAGCCCCCAGCCCAGTTGGCACCTTACCCATGTCTTCCTTTCTTAGTCTTTTTTTTTTGAGTTGAAATGCTCTCAAGTACAAGTTTCTCCCATTTCATTTTTTTTTAAGCCGGTGAGCTGTCATTTGACAGCACAGCCTGGTGAGCTGATTATGGAGCCAGACTGTCAGGGTTGGATCCTGGTTCTACCACTTACAAGTGCACTCTCCAAGTTCCTCATTTTTAAATAAGGGGATAATAATTTCATCCACCATATAAAGTTGTTTATGAGGTTTAAGTGTATAAAGCACTTGAGACAGTGCCTAGCGTGTAGTAAATGCTAGATAAGTGGTAGTTGCTTTTCACCTGTTCACAGTACTGATAACTGTGCTCATCACTCAACTCATGATATGTTGCTGTCATTCCTGATCACAGATAGAGATGGCGAACAGTGTTCACTGATCATCATCAGAAGGGTTGTGATATATTTTCATGTTTGCCTGTTAAATGGAAGCAATGTATTTTTTGAATGCTTCTACTCTTTTTAGCTTTTTATACATATCTAATGTTTTTGACCAAGTAGCATATAATGTCCCTTATAGTATGAGCCTGAAAGAACCTCACTGTAGTTCAAAATAAAGAATATTTTCTACCTAACCTAGACATCAAAGTGTTGAAGATGCAAAATCTATTTTTGTTGTAAATGACTTTTTATTATGTATGCTATATTTTACATATTCCCAAAGTTGCTAATTGACTGCATAGAATAGTGAAATACTAATGAGACATAGTGGTTTAGGATAATATTCTAAAAGCTTTCAGGGTTAAGACCTTGGTGAATGCCACCGTGGGCTCAGGGAATCATCTTTAGCTTGAAGTATCATTAAGAAAACTGAAGATATTTCTGGATGATCCTGATACTTTGTTCCTAAATAGGCAAATACCCTTCAGTTTGATTTAACCATATGAAATTGTTGGTGTTTGGTGTTTTGTTTTGTTTTTATTTTTTATTTTATTTTTTTTAAAGATTTTATTTATTTGAGAGAGAGTGAATGAGAGATAGAGAGCACGAGAGGGAAGAGGGTCAGAGGGAGAAGCAGACTCCCCGCTGAGCAGGGAGCCCGATGCGGGACTCGATCCCGGGACTCCAGGATCATGACCTGAGCCGAAGGCAGTCGCTTAACCAACTGAGCCACCCAGGCACCCTTGTTTTGTTTTTAAACAGTGACAACCACAAAAAGACAATTGCATATGGCTCAACCTAATTAAACCACTCCAAACCTGGTATATCCACCTGACAATGAAATTTTGGTCATAAAGTCTTATATAAGGTCTAAATGCTACATGGTAGTGTTTCTTCCTTCTTTATTCTACTAGGTGTCGTGGAATATTTGAGCAATGGAGGAGTAGCTGACAACCATAAAGACTTCAAGGAACTAAGGTACAATGAGTGTCTTATGAACTTCAGCTGCAATGGGAAGAATGGAAGCTCAGAAGGGAGAATCACACATGGCTTCCAACTGAAGAGCGCCTATGAAAATAACTTGATGCCTTACACCAATTACACCTTTGATTTCAAAGTGAGTGACAGCCTCGGGGCTGATAGAGAAATTACTTCAAATATAAACATAGGACAAGAAAGATATATTTTTATAATGCTTACTTGTATAATCTTCAAGCATTTTTAGATTCTCAAAATGTCTTGACTAAGTATGCTTCTAAATGTCAGGAGATTTGTTAGCTTTGCTTTTTGTTATTATTGATTAGAGAATTTTTTAAAACCCTCATATTTCCACATTTCAGGTAATACTGATAAATAGCAAAAACTTCCAAAATGCTTACCGTGTGCCAGGCACTGTTGAAAACACTTTATATTTATTAATGTAGTTAATCTTCACTTGTCCATACCATCCCTAACTTTCAGTAAGGATCTAAGTAATAAGTAACCTGATACGGGTATATGGGTAAGTTCACCTTGAATGAATTTACATAATATTGTCTCAGAATTTTCTTTGTACTATTGATGTCTTATTTATCTTTAAATTTTCTAAGTTTCTTTGGGAGATGGTTGTACTTAGGGTCTATTTTGTATATATATAAATATATATCCATGTAGTCAAATTAATATATTCCCAGGCAGTGGAACATTCCAGCTTAATAAAAGGAAAAAGATGTTTTTTCAAAATAAAAAAATTTAGAGGACCCACTGTTTAAGACAAATTGTTCTTTAGAAAGATTGAATGTAGTGGTTTTCTGTAGGTAAGATTGCTTTCCCTTTGCCAATTATCTGATCAGTTAGCTCCTCCATTGTACTTCTGACTTTCTGGTATTTCAGGCATCTGTACTAAAATCTTACACTATCTTGAAAAAATGCAGATTTTAGAAAGTGAAATGATGTAAGAAGCCTAGAGGGAATATAATAAAAATACCAAAGGAAGTTTTCGAAACGGGCCCTTCACATCTCCAATAACCCTTTTATATTTTCAGTGCTTGTTAGCCCCTTTCTAAGGAATAGGAGGAAGAAGGGAAATTTGTGTGATGTTATCAGTCAACTTTCGTGATCATGAAGTGGAGGAAAAAATTGCGTAGAATAAATTGAATCTAATTTTAGTATTTTTGCTGTTAGAGTAGATAATACCATCCCTAGTGATAGTTCGTTTTATTCAAATCACTCAAACACAGTAATGTGCTGGTAGATATTTAATAACCAGCTTCCTGAGAAAAAGAAACGCTAACTTGCGGTGTTTGCTGATTTCTGTGTGTAAGTATTCCCAATGTGGTAGATTTCAAGCTCCCAACATAGTACCATTGAATTCAGAGTGGAGATGAGGCACTTAAGAAAGCAGGTACCAGCCGACTGTAGCACAGCACTGCTGTCGTGCAGCCTTAGAGGAAAACCTTTAGACTTCATGATGCACCGTTTACTGTAGGTTAATTCCTATCCTTGTGACTGTAGTGGTATGTAATACATCTCTGCCAGCACAACCCAGAAAATCTAAATTAAAGTTCCCTAAAAAATAAGTTATTGTTGTTTTAGTATGGGTGTGGTTAAAAAGACCAAATCATTTCTACCTCAACTAGGCTTTGATAAATGTTATTTTTCCTTGTCCATCAGTGGAAATTGGAGAAACAAAATTGGGAATCTGAGCCATCTTTTTTAACAGTCTGAACTGTTTTAAAATCCTTTGTTGATATTGAATCAAAAATCTTACTGAACCATTTACATTGTCCAAAGAAGTACAGGTAAAGAACCAAAAGGGCATGACTCAGTGTGTGGTGATTGTGTATGTAGGATAGGGTGAGACAGAAGGACAGAGCTATAGATCCATGAGAGACAGGCGTATGGGGAGATAAATATACTGGCTGGCCCGGTCGATTGGGGGGTGGAAAGACAGGGCGCCCAGAGAATAAACTAGGGGCATATGTAACAACAGAGAATGAAGCCTTTAGTCCACATAACAGTAACTGTTTTCAGTTTTATGTAAAGCATTTTATGCCATCCCATTATTGAAGTCAGTCAGTAAAAGAAGGATAGGTAATATCAAATATAAAAATGTCATGTAATTAGCATTACATACAGATCTAAATACAGTGTTCTGCCATTGCATCAGTAGAGTTTTAAGTTTTATTCACTTGGCTTAGCATTTGTTTACCTTCTTGGTCCTTGAATAATTTAGAAATGTAGAAAAGTGATATTTAGAATTCAGATTCCCTTAATCTAGAACTGATTTGGAAGATACCAAAGGGTGGGTAAGCAGGAGAATTACTTGTAGACCAGGTGTCTTCAGGATAGCTAACAGAATATGGGCTGTAGACTGTGTGACTTATAAATAACAGAAATTCATTGCTCACAGTTCTATAGGCTGGAGAAGTGTAAGGTCAGGGTACCAGCATGGTTGGGTTCAGATGAGGGCCCTCTTCCGGGTTGCAGATAGTCACATGGCAAAGAGTCAGAGCTCTCAGGGGTCTCTCTTTATAGAGCACTAATCCCATTCTTGAGAATGCTACCTTGATGACCTCATTACCTCCCCAAAGCCCCACCTCCTACTTCCATCATGTTAGGGGTTAGGATTTCAGCATGTGAACTTTGGGGGGACAGAAACCTTCAGACCGTAATACTGGATACCTTGAATTAACAGCTTAATTCAGACTTTTCACTGCAGCTGCTCCCCCCCCCACCAGTCTAAGGGTGTGCCTGAGCCAGTTAGTGAAGAGAGGAAGGACTCCTCCTGTTTTGTCAAGAAGTAAATCTTTCTCTTTTACATTATGAAATTTATAGTATATAATTTTCTTAACATTCTTTTATAAGACAAAACTTAGCATAATGCCAGCTCATAAACTATTTTCATTATTTTTACTTTTTTTCAAATACAGTTCCTATAGAATTATTGTAGAATTTCCTAATTATATAAAGACTGTTTTCCCACAGTGTAGCTTTTTAAAAAGTTTGAATCAAAACAAGGTTAGGAATCATTAGTCTAATAACCTACTTTGTGGATATGACAGTATATAAATGTAAATACATGCGTACAGATATTTGGGTGAGTTCGTAGATACGTCCTTGCTGAGGGTTTTAATAAGAGCTTTTACTCTGGATGTTTCACACTAAGAAAATAGTTAACAAGTGATGCCTCCAATTAAATACATCTTACTTTCTAGAATGTTTAACATCTTCTTGGGGCCTGTGTTTGAAAAGGATTCTGTAAGTCTCGCAGCTCGTGTGCATAATGGCACTCTAATAAAGTGATACAGGAGGTTTATTCACCCTAAGTAACAGAGTATTTCACTTGTGTTTTGTTTACTTTATAGTTGAAGCAAAGGGTGGTCTCATAAAGGCAGATAAATCCACCCTGACCCTTGTTAACACTTTTCCTAAAATGTCACTGTAAAACTGGGCATTAGCAAAAATGAAAGGATAATACCTTGTACTAATATCATTTCTTAACTATTTGGACTTGGAATATTAATGGCAGAAAGTCCTTTCTTGGATTCAAGTAGGGTACCCTATCTGTGGCAAGGTTAAGGTTTCTAAACGTTGAATGAGGCCTTCTTCCTGATTAACATAACACAATAAAATAAAATTTAAAAAAAATCTTGTTATTTTGGTCTTGGTCATGTCAAAACCAACAAACTTGAGATAATTATTTCCAAATTTCATAATATACATTTTTTTCATTAAAAATTTTTCTTTTTTTTTAAGTAGCCCATTTCATTGTGATAATATTTAAAATATTACTGGAACTCATTATGTGTAGCATTTCTAAATAGATACTTCCAGATCTGGAAATGTTTCTCCACACTTGGGCTCAGGCTTTCTTGACATGGATAGGAAGAAATTTGACTTTCTCCCCTCCTCCCGTTTTTAAGTAGGCTCCATGCCCAGTGCTGAACCTAATGCAGGACTTGAACTCATGACCCCAAGATCAAGACCCTGAGATTAAGACCTGAGCTGAAATCAGGAGTTGGGTGTGTGTGTGTGTATCCCTGCTGAATATTTTTTTGCTAAGCAATCCAGAATTTACAGTGTACCAGAATTTGTGAAAATGAGAACACATTGTGAAAAAGAACACATTAGAAAAATTAACTGTGTGTAGTATTTTGTATGTATGTAGCATATCTGGGAAAACTGAACTAGAATTGGCAAATCTGAAAACATGCTTTACCATGGCTTCATTCAGGTGTGTTTGGTTATCTTGATGTGCAAATAATTGAAAATAATGCCAGTTAACATTAAAAAGTTAATTTGAGCCATACCTTTTCGTTATGCATTTATATAAAAACAGCTTGTTGTAACTGATACAGTGTAGTTCCCATAATGTTTATACTGATGTATTAGATTTCACTAACCTAAGCAAGCCATTTTTAAAAGATGCCTAGACATAATTTGGTGTGTTTAGCTTCTCACTTTGCTTACACTTAGGCACAAATGCGGGGCTTTATGACTCCAGTAGGGTCCTGTATTTCCCTATTGAGCCATCTTTATTTCATGTAATACCTACTGAAGACTTGAGTCCTATTTGACCTGTTGTCAAGACAACAGGTACCAAAAGTACAGGTTACTCAGGTATTTGGCTTTTACAAATAATGGGTTGTTCTTTATATATCTTGAGTTTTTCTTTCTTTCTAAGCGTATATTTTTCTTTTTCCCCAACCCCTAATCTCTTTCCAGGGCGTGATTGACTACATTTTCTATTCCAAGACTCATATGAACGTGCTTGGTGTCCTGGGGCCTTTAGATCCTCAATGGCTGGTTGAGAACAACATCACTGGGTGTCCACACCCTCACATCCCTTCAGACCACTTCTCACTGTTAACACAACTTGAACTCCACCCTCCACTTCTGCCTCTTGTCAATGGTGTTCACTTGCCTAATCGGAGGTAGTGGAGTACTGCCCCGCAAAGACGGGGGGATCTGTTGCTATGGACCTGTACAGTTGTAAATCAAAGTATGTAGGAGTGAAGTATGGCCATCCTTAAGCTGCTTCTTCAGGTTCCTTTCATTATGTGTTTGCTCTAAGATTTTGTACATTTTTGTGCATATTGGTATCATTTGGCACTAGGGCTGGAACCAAAGTATTACTCTTTCCAAATTTTTAATTTAACATGTTTTTAAATTGGACCTCCTTCATAGTATATTAGGAGTCAACATTCATAAGTAATAAATCACCAATTCAAGGCCCAACAAGCATGTGTTTTTCCAAAACAAATAACTTTCTTTTGAATGGTTTCAAATGAGCCAACCATTTTTGTAAAAGACAATTTTTAAAAACTAAAAAGACGACACTTTAAACTGAATGATGGCATGCCTTACAGGAAAAATTTCTTGGATTTCTGTTTTCCATTATAACAAAACTGATTTTTGGCTCCCCTAGTCTTTTGCACATTAACAAAGCACTTAAATTTGCTAGATCTGTACATAAACTATGATACAGCCTTTAACCATAATATGAAAAATAGAGAAATTAAAGATGGTTGCACAATATGCTTTTGAAATCAAACATTTGACAGCACATGACAGTTTGTTGGGCAAGTGCTGGTTATTGTTTTTTTTTTTTTTTTGAGGAATCACTCTGTATCTAGTTCCTCTATTAGTTATAACCTCATTAGAAGTATTAATTTTAAGCCTTTCTCTCCAGTTTATTTATTGGGAAACAGTGGGTAATTTTTACTGCCACATATCTTGAAAATAGAATTTGTTATATTTAGGATGCCCACAAAATTAGTGTCCAGTATTTTTCATTATTCTCATCCACCTTTTTCTGCCTGGTTGTGCTAGAGAAACAGGTATTATATGATCTGTATAATTTTTGCTGTTATAGTCAAATGTTTTAAAAACAAACAACTACTGAATGAAAAGGCCCTGATCAAAGTTTTAAAAGGGAAAAGCGATACAAATATCTCATTTGTTTCCTGAAGTAGGACAAGTGGCTATTGGTTTTGGCTTTTTGAAGTAACAATGGAAAGGATTTGGGGGGGGGGAGAGAACAGGGAGTAGCTGAAAACCTCTGATCATTTTTCCTGACTCTAGTTGCCAAATGGCCATTATATGCTTTTAATCTTTGTTTCCGTTGTCTGTCAGGGTTGAATTAAGAAGCTACTGGTTTATTCCCAACTGTTGATGCTCTTTAGAAATGTTGGAATCCTTTTTTTGCCCAGGAGGGGCCAGTTGAAAATGTGTGACTCAAGAGGCAGTTAACGTAATACCGTTTTCTGGGGGAAAAATTGGTTGGCTACTTGATGTTAATTATGGCACAGTTAACAGGAAAAGGTTGTGTCTGTGTTTTTAAGTTTTTCTTTATTCTGCTTTTTTGCTGCTATAAGAGTTTTCTGAAATTTATATTTTAAACTTTTCATGCACTTTACTGTTTCTAGTCTCAAAATGTGATATTTTTAATAAACAAGAAATTTTCCATTATGTGAATGAAATTTTAAAAGAAAATAGCCTATATTTGTGTCTCACTAATATATAAAGTACAGGTCAAATTTAAATTATTTAATTAGTTTTAAATATATACAATTTGCCTCTTCTTTCAAACCTAACATCTTAGGCTGTTTTATTAGTCTTAAATGATGCATTTCCTTTGGTCATTTTATACTAATTTCTTCCATAGTAAATTAATCAGGCTATATAAGATAATATTTCCCCAGAAGGATAATTTTAGTGGGACGAGGGTGGTGGGATGATGTAATGTCATAATGGGATTGCATCAGAAGGGTTCTGTAAAGCCTAAAACTCCCTTTTAAAAGTGCCTAGTGATAGAGGCGTTGTTTGTCATCTATTATAATTGGAATGTCATTGTCGTTGAGTGAAGTTTGATGTAAATAAAATATTCTTTTAAAAATGGTAAAGTACCAGAATAAACAAACAAATAAACAACCCTTAAGGTGACAGATTTTCCTCAATGTGCAGGTATCCCTTCTTATATACCTCAAACATTCAACATCTAGCCATGCAAATTAATTACCTGAACCATAGTACTGGAAAGTAGAATAGCATGAAAAACTTAATTTTGTGGACATTACCTTTTTTTGTAATCAGCTACTGTATGTTTTATTTGAAATCTTTTGTTTTGGGTGGGTTTTCTGCTCTGGAGGTATATGCACTAACAAAACATTTTCCTCCTTTCATATACGCATGTTAATTAGCAATGTGAGCAATATTTCCTACCATACTTCACTCCCAATATTTTTTGAGATGTTTGTATAAAATGGAATTTAAAGTTCACTTATGATTGTATATGAACCACAGAGGAGCCCATTTATTAATAAAAAACTTTTTTAATAGTTAAATGTAGAGGGGAAAAAATAAAAAAAATTGGGAAACATTGTAAACAGCTTAAGTTTATTTTGTGTATGATCGAGGCACTCTGTTGCAGGAAGGTGTGTAATTGGGTTCTCTCTGCTTCCAAATGCACTCTTTCAAACCATTCATTATCCTGTGTATTTTTAATGTGGTTTTAGTAAATGTTGGTAGTAGCTCTGTTGAAGTAGGTAATTGTGTTATGTTTTGGGTGGCACACACACTTGGGGCATGGTAACCCAAATTTCATGTGCACGGTTTCCCTTTAGCCCACTGCCCAAATTTCACACACCTTTCACCCTTTGTTCCCTTTGTAAAAGGAGTGGTATCTGTTTTGAGCTGCCAATTCAGATGATCAGAAATGCTGCTCTCCTCAGTATTGTCTTGTTAAAACGCATGCCATTTGGAACTTTGGCAGTGAGAAGCCAAAAGGAAGAGGTGAATGACATACGGTATATAGTCAATGAAAGTAAATATTTATGCTTATATACTTTCTAGTTCTCAGAATAAGTTTAATAAGCTTTATGCCATAGGGCTGCTGCATATTTTATCTGAAGTTAAGAGAAAATTTGGGCATTTTTAGGTTGTGATAATGTGGTTTTTTTTTTTAACTGTTAAATATGATTTCTGGTACTTGTGTAAGAACTGGAGTGTTCTTTAAATTTATTAAAACAGTGTTGTTTGAGGAAGGGAAAACTGCACTGTTTGCTATTACAGCAGTCATACAAGTGCATGTCAAGTCACCCACTCTCTCAGGCATCAGTATCCGCCTCATAGCTTTACACATTTTGATGGGGAATATTGCAGCATCCTCAGGACTGACATCTGGGAAAGGCTCAAATCCACTTACTGCTCCTTGCTTGTTGACTTTGTTTTAAAATATTGTGCCTGGTGTCAACTTTTAAGCAACAGCACTGCCTAAAAGCAAGCAGAGAACAGAATCCCAGCACCATTCTATAGGCAACTTTTTAGAATTCAGATAATAGTAAATCTGTTCAAGATTTATGATGTTTTATGTAAAAAAAATTTTGTACAACGTAGCTGAATATTTTTGTTTCATTTCTTTGATGTAAGGCGTGTGAACGTTTGTTTGGATATCACATGTAAAAGTCAGGTAATGGCACAATGGGTTTTGAGACCAGCTTCCCTTCCCCCCCATTTGCCTTGTTCCAAGCTCTTTCTTTTCATATTACTTTTCTGATTTTCATAGGCAGATATTTAATTTTACTAACAAGCATCCTGTGTGAATGTATTAAAGAAGCCACTGTGTTTTAGTGTTGTAGTTTGCAGAAATATAAAGCTTCGTTTCTTATTTGTCCCTATTATTTGGTGTGTTATGGTTATGTATTGAATCACAGAGAAGGGAGAAAGCTGAAAGGATACCTAAGGCTCGTATCACTTGATTCTATGGTGGGTTGTATTAGAATTGGGGATGTGGCACATTAAAACTGGAACATGGGCAAACATAACTGTGTTCCATTTTAAAATTGTATCTCCTAAGTATCTGTTGTTAAGTGGGCAAAAAATTGTTTGTATTTGCATTTCCAAGAGTTTCTAAAAATCACAAATGCCATCTATACTTCCAAATCAAATAGCAAGAAGTAGAGAAAGCACAAGACAAAATAGGTTAAGTAATGTTCTTTGATGGAACGAGAGGCATATGGTTTTCATTCCTAATACAGAGCTAGGTTTTCTAGCAAATTGATTGTGTCCCAGTACTTACAGTACTTATTTGTTTTTAAGTCTTATATTCTGAGAGATTTTAATAGCTTTGTAAAATGCACTGACTGAGCAGTAGCTTTGGTCACAGAAAACATAATCAGTTTCTGATACATTTGGCAGGCCATAGAATAATGGTTATATAGCAAGCAGTGACTTTATGGCACGTTTTCAAAGTAGCACTCATATATACTTATATTTTGACAGAAATGTGAATTCTCACGTTTATAAGGTACTCTCCGACCTGCCCTGCCCTTTAAAAAAAAAAATCAACTTTCTAATGTGTAAATGTTTAATCTTTTCCTTCTGAATTATATCATGTTTGTAGAACTCTGAGAATTACAGGTAGACAAATTAGCTGGGAAAAGTAGAGTATTTTTCTAAGCCAGGAACTTCAACTAAAGTTTTCAATTTGTAGACAGATGAGAACTTTTATACTTAACGGTTGCTTTGAGTGATTTTAATTTTTTTAAGGCATCATGATCACCAAATTCAAATTGAAACTTAAGTAAATTAGTACATCTTTAACCTGGCTTATTTACCAAAGTTGTAATCTGTTTAAGAACAGGATGCCAAGAGCATCTTTCATTTTACAGAATGATTTGGAAATCTGTGTTGTGTAAGTGTCATCCTAAAGCTTAAGGGTAAGAAGAAAAAAGAAAGCTCTTATACATATACTGCAGGGTGTTCTGAATAAGATCCACAAAAAAGAAAACAAAAAATAGTTCTTTTCAGGAAGGTGGTAAGGGAGAGCATGCATGTTTTCTTATTTTAACCAAATACCTTCTTTATGTAAGTTTCTCTGTTGAATTACTCAAGTCCTACGGCAAGAAGTTAGGGAGATATTAGGAAAAACAAGCTTTGTTAAACTACTTAATAATTTCTTTTGGCATAAGTTTGTTTGGGTTATTCTTGGAACCAAAGGAAAACAAGCATGTTGGGGCTTTATTCAACATACATTATGACATTGAAGTAATGGAATGTTTTTAAGTAAAATAGATTTTACTTTCAAAGCATATGAAATAAGGACATTTCTGCCTATTAAATGTTCATTTTTTATGGCACTTAGTATAAACTCAGTAGCATTGTCCCAAAATTAGAAATTGTGTTATCAGAAACCATAAATCACATTTTGAAAAGGGTATGTAAATGCCAAATGATATGACTCTTTTGGGCATAGTAGCTTGGTACGTGCAGCTTTCAGAGACTTTAAGAAGGCATAGTTTGGCACCTATTAGTAGTACTTTTTGTTACAACAATCTCTCCAGATTTAGATAATTTTCCTACTTGTATATCTGTCACTTTTAAATCTAAAAGCATACGAATCATGATAACCCTCAGAAGTGGTCCTTTCTTGCTCGTTTCAGCTTTGTGTTAATTTCTAGTTACATGACATAACTGTATTTTCTTTGACGCTATCAATGGTTATATGTACCACATTTGTTTAATTATCTTAACTCACACAATTGGCTCAGCGTTGATGTGTCAAACAATGGCTTTGCTTCTTAACAGGCTTAGTTTCCTACTACTTGTTTCAGTCTTGATACAATAAGTGATGCAGTAGTCTGGGTGTGTATGTATTGAGAAGCTGTACTGTTCTTTCTCTGCTTAACTTACTAAAAATATATTCCCTTACCTGTGAAATTCCTGAGCGGTGCTCTGCCAACTTTTTTTGGGGGGGGTGGGGAGGAGTTTGGATGGCTGTATTACTGCACACTGGATCTGGAATTGTTCAGTGTTGTGAGTGGCAAATTTCTTAAACACCAGCAGCACTGAGAAGTGCACTATGGGCATTCGTACAGTTGTCCAAATGCAAGCATTTCTTTCATCTAGGAGAAGTTGAGAAATAGCGTTCATTGGAGTACTTGGAATATTTTGAGGAGGATGAGCATTTCAAACTTTGGCTTTTTTTTTTTTTTTTAACCTCTGGATGTGGGGTGGTATGGAGGGAGGTGTTTTTTGTTTTTTTAAGAGAAAGAGTGTGTCTGTACCTTCTCTTTCATAAAGGCCAGGGTGTTGGTCATATTCACTATGGTTCTATTGTGATTTCTTTCAACCATAAAAGAAGTGCCAACTGAATGTCCATGAGATGATCTACTCTTCAACTCAATTTACCATTTGAATAGGGAAGGGTTCATTTATTTTCATTATTTGGCATTAAATTAATAATTCATTGTTTTGCATACATTTGAGTTATTCTGTGGCCTATAAAGTGTTTTTGTAACTAATGTAATGGTTGGAAAGCAAAACACTTCAGTTTAAAACTTAGCAAGATATTTTGGTAATTTTTCCCCTGAATACGTGGGAATTTCTATTGATACTATTCCAGAACAAATTCTCCTGTTTCAGGTTGTATATTTACTTTGTGTTCATCCTAAGAAAAAGCCAAGCACTAAATCAATTTGTTAACTGTGTTCCAGTAATCAGTTTAAAATCTAATATTTTCTTTTTCTTTCTTTTTTTCATTCATTCTCTTTTTAATTAGAAGACGTGATGAAGTGCCATGTAATTGTAGCTTACTAGTGTTTAATGTTTAATAGACTGGTTCTGTGGTGGTTTAATCATTTAACTCTCTGTCATCCTTGGAGAAGGTGGTTCTGCCCTTAACTGAACACATTCTCTCTGACAAAATCACCAGCTGCTTTATTTTTCTATTTATTACATTTAAACAGTTGATGAGGTCTGAAACTTGACCAAACTGCTCAGCTGAGATGTTTTTCACAATAGACACTGTACAAAATGTGCGTGCAAAAGGACACAGTTGGGTGGTAGTATTTTTTCATTAATGTGAACATTGACTAAACAAAGCAGTCCTGCCTTTTAAATCTTGTGGCAGCTCAGAAGGGAGGTGCTTAAGAACCTTAACTACTATGTCAGATGACAAAATATTTTTTCCATTTTGGAGATTGGGTACTGCTCACACATGATGTATAGGGCTAAATATATGCTTGTTTCCTTGCACCTGTGTACTTCCTCTTCTCTCCCTCCCTTTCCTTCCCCTGTAGGCAATAAATGGCCATTTTGCAACTGCATACCTTTGTCTTGGTTTTTTACTCTTTATCTGTGCAGTGTGTGTCTGCTTATAGGTTAGTACATCTCTTGGAAAGTGAAGTAAGAAGCCAAGGTTATTTAGGCAAAAAGTTAGAAATTCATGCTGGATTTTTTCCCCCCTCGTGAAAACTATAGTACTGCTTAAATAGTACTTTGTTTAGAATAGATTTGGAAGTTAGCCATAGTTATGGCTTGCTTTGGCTGAAGAAATCTGAGTGGACGGACGTGTGTCACTTCAGGGCGAGGCTTTAAGGCCAGTGTGCAGTTTGCCGTATTCCCTTTTCTTGCCTTGATGATAATGGAAGCATATATTGAGATTAGGCTTCCCATCCTAGATCTTTGACTTTGATGAACAGAGTTTCCCTGCTGACCTACACAGAAAATGAAGTGTGAGAAACAACAGCCAAATCTCAGTGTCTTCATAAAGTTTTGTTATTGCAGCATGATCTCTCCCATCCTGACTGACAACCCTCAGATCTGCTGAGTTACAACATAAAATGGTCTTAATAAGTGGACCTCCCAAGACCTAGAGTAAACTCATTCAACAAACATTTCACGTATCTAGTATGAACAAGATGCTTTGGTGATATAAATTTGGACAGGTTCCCCATCCTCCAAGAATTCACTTTCCAAACACTCTTCTATATGACACACAAAATATTGAAGGGTTTTAGTCATAGTAAAGGTATCTTAAATTTTTAGAATCTTGGGAGGGAAAGGCACACTGAAATAGCAATTTTGAAACTCTGTTTAGGGATATTCAGCTGAAAAATGATTTTAAGATATGGTGTGTTTGAGACCAGATAATTCTTGAAGAGCATGAAACAAAAAACAACAGCTGTCCAGTTTAATAAGTGCTTAGGGAAGGTAATAGAAGGCTTATTAAGAAGATACTCCTAAGATAGACACTAACCAAGTGTCCTTTCATTCCATCATGTGACCTTGATAAAATACCCTAGCTGGTAAAATGGATGTAAGAAACAATCTCGTGAAATGATAGAAAAAAGCAGACACCAGCATAAGCTTGCATGCAGGTAATTTATTTGGAGAAATGATCCCAAGAAGAGAGTAGGCATGTAACAATAACAATAGAGAAAGAGGGAAAGCCAAGTCAAGGGTGCAATATTAAGCCTATCACCTCTGTGGGCAGCTGGAACATAAACTTGCCACTGACCCTTTGAAGAGCTGAGTAGAATGCACTTCAAAATTGTCTTAATGAGGGATGGGAGAGGAATTTATGGGCTCCCATGAGAAAAGGGTGTTAATTATTTTTCCTGTCTGTGCATTTATTAAATTCACTAAGATTCCTGCAGGAATCCCATTTAATAGTGGGGAAATGCAGTGGGTGGTGGTACAGAAAGCAAAAGGCAAAGTGCTATTAAGTTACACTTGTGTGCAACTGGTTGCCAAGCTATGATGGCGGTAAGGAAGTGAGCCGAGAGGATGTGAGACATCCGAGGAGTCTGACATAATGATGTGCTGTAATCTCAACAAAATATAGAGGAGTAGGAGAACAAGGTAGAGCCCGTTGCTGCAGCTGATTTTGAGGCTATGATTAATATTTGTCACCTCTCTTTGTCATGCATTCCAGATTTTGCTCAGCTTCGCCCCAGCACACCAGTGGATCTAGATTGCTTTCCTAAGGTTTGGCAACCAAGAGTTGTTGGGCATGGTTGGTTGAGTTTGCCCAGCCATCCCCTGGATATGAAAGAACCAGAGCTGCCCCATGAATCCCTTGGGTTCCAGATATGCTTATTCTTGCTTCCCATTGTGTAACAGCAAGCCTACTTTCTCATGCCAGTATGATGAATCTTTGTACACCAGCATTGTGAGCCCCAAATGACCCCTTCCTGGGGGCATCCAAGCCTGGGAGATAGTGGGTATTAAGTTTCAGTCTAAGTCCACCTCAGCACCTCTGAAATGCCATCCCATCTTCAGAGTTTCCCACTCGTACATTAATTTCTATTTGAGTACACTTCCCAAGGTTACCCCACTAGATCAGCCATCAAGAGCAGTAGAGATGCTAGTTGAGAATGACAGGAAGCTTAGGGTGGGTGGATAGTGGAGGAGGGAGATGATGAGTATCAATTGTAGCTCCAGAACAACTGCAGCACAAAACTAGCTCATCTTATTAATCTTTCCCTTTTAAGTTTTGGGGGTGGGGCAGAGGATGGAGATATTTTCAAAATGTATTATACAAAACAAGTGACTGGCTCAAGGTGGTGGTGTGGTATACTACTCTGATTACCCTCTTCAGGACTGAAAAACTTACTCTTTCATCTGGGAGTGGGCTGTCCACTGAGAATGTTCCTGATAAGTAACCTAGACTGAGGAAGGACAGCTGCCTTGCCCAACACCATGCCCCATTCTGGGAGGGGATACCTATCTGTGGCCAATGGCTGGTGAATGTGGGGTTAATAAGTTTAGCCGCTCACATAGACCTGTGACAATTCTGAATGGACATGGCCAGCTCCAGAGCCCTCATGGCAATGGCTGAGGTCTTTGTTGTGACTGCATTGCTTCCTTCACTTCACAGGTTTGATCTTGGCACTGTCTAAAAAAAAAACTTCCTGAATGCCAGTCTCCATCTCAAAATCTCTTTCCTGGAATATCCACAGGGTGGGTAATTATACTAGTGCTCTCGGATTCTAAGAATCTTACTAAAGAAGACTATAGTACTTGACATATATGATAAGTTCCTAGTATGTATGTGTGTATATATGTGTGTATATTTCATAAATGTATATCAAACACAAAACTGTGCAAAACAGAAACAAATTGTAGACCTTATTTTAAAAGGTCTGTAGATCTGGGGCGCCTGGGTGGCTCAGTCAGTTGGGTGCCTGACTCTTGGTTTTTGCTCGAGTCATGATCTCAGGGTCATGGGATTGAGCCCTGTGTATGGGCTCTGGCTCTGTGCTCAGTGGGAAGTCTACTTAAGATTCTTTTCCTCTATTCCTTCCCAGCTTGTGGGTACCCTCTCTTTTTTTCTCCTTAAGGTAAATAAAGCTTAAGAAAAATAAGGTGTGTGGGTCAAATGGTACAATTTATGGGGATTTATGGTCTCTTCCTATGGATTTGGTTCGGAAGTGTCTATAATAAAAGATTGCATTAGTTAGGATTCAGTTGAAAAAACAGAAGATAAGCTATTTCAGTCAAGATGAGTAGAATATAGGGCATGAGTTAAATGGGGGAGGAAAAAATGAAGTCAAACAGTGGATTGTAAGGCAAACCAGAGATTAGCAACTTCCAATAGCCACTATAGCATTTTAAGCCACTGGAAATCAGGAGAAGATGGAATTACCAGCTCTAAGAAAATGGGTTCACTTATTAGGAGCTAGAACCATGGCAGACATTGCCTGTGGAAGGTGGTGTCACAAAGGGAGGAGCTATCTTTTAGGGGCTGGGATCACAGAGAAGACTCAAGTCTGTTGGAAATGCTACCTGTAGCAGTAAGAGAAAGAGAAAGATGCTGGCTTTCTCTCTCTTCTTCCTTCTTCCTAGTTTTTCTACCATGTCTCTCATTGGCTGAACCTAACCAGAAGTGATTGGCAAAGAAGCCTGAAAAATATTCCCATGGTATATTCAGAATAGAGGAAAGATTGAGGAATGCATGTGGAAGCAAGCAAGCAAATCATTAGCACACACTTTTGTTTTTACCACTCTGCATCTGTTCTCATGCTTTAACCAATCTTTTTCTCTTGCACTTTGTTTGCATTATCTTTTTTTTTTTATTGTGGTAAAAAACATAACATTTGCTGTCTTAACCATTTTTTAAGTGTCCAGTAGTGTTAAGTATATTCACATTGTTATGCAACAGATCTCTAGAACTTTTTCATCTTGCAGGCTGAAACTCTATACCCATTGCATAACAACTCATTAGTCACCCCCCTTCCCCCAACCCCCTCCCCAAGCCTCTGGCCACTTCCATTCTATTTTCTGTTCCTGTTTAGTTGACTACTTTAAATACTTCATATGAGTAGAATACAGTATTTGTCTTTCTGTGACTGGCTTTATTTCATGTAGAATAATGTCATCAAGTTTCATCCCTGTTGTAGCATGTGTCAGAATTTCTTTTTAAGACTGACTAATATTCCATTGTATATATGCTACTTTTTGCTTATCCATTTTTCTGTTGATGGACACTTGAGTTGCTCCTACATTTTAGCTATTATGAATAATGCTGCTATGAACATGTATATACAAATATTTCTGAGATCCTGCTTTCAATTCTTTGGAGTCTGTACCCAGAAGTGGAATTGCTGAAACATACAATAATTCTGTTTTTATATTTTGAGGAACCACCATACTATTGTCCACAGTGGCAGTGCCATTTTACATTCTTACCAGCAAACACAAGGGTTCCAGTATTTTCACATCCTCACCAACACTTGTTATTTCTGTTTTGTTTCATTTTGTTTGACAGGAGCCATACTAATGGGTGTGAGGTGGCAATGTCTCATTGTAGTTTTGATTTGTGTTTACCTAATTATTAGTGATGTTGAGCATCTTCTCATGAGTTTATTGGCCATTTATATATCTTCTTTGCAGAAATGTTTACTTGAGTCTTTTGTGCATTTTAGATTGAGTTGCTTGTTTTTTTTTATTGTTGAGTTTTAGGAGTTCTTTATATATCCTGGATATGAATTCCTTATCAGATATGTGATTTGCAAATATTTTTCTCCCATTCTGGGGATTGTGTTTTTATTCTGTTGATAGTGTCCTCTGATTCACAGAAGCTTTTCATTTTGATAAAGTCCAATTTATCTATTTTTGTTTTGGTTGCCTGTGCCTTTGGTGTCATATCTAAGAAATCATTGTCAAATCCAATGTCTTGAAGCTTTTGCCCTATATTTTCTTTTAGAAGTTTTCTAGGTTTTGGTCTAACATTTAGGCCTTTGGTCCGTTTTGAGTTAATTTTTGTATTTGGTATTAAGTTAAGGTTTAACTTCATTCTTCTGCATTGGATATTCATATTTCC